GTCGGCGAACTCGTCCAGCAACCGTACCACACGGGGGTCCGAAGACAAGTCCGTGGGTGAAGAGTCGGCTACCGCAACGGTCCGTAGGAAACATATGCCGATCTCCTCGGGCTGCTCGTAAGCACAAGTCGCCCGGAATGATTTGGCCGTCACCACTTGGCACCGGATCGAAGAGTGCGGTAGAGGAATCATACACGCCACTTCCGCGCCGAAGGCGTCGCGAAGTTGACCGTGTGATCCACACTTGCGAGTCAAGGCATTCCCAGAATGATGTCGAAGTCCGTGTCGAGAATATCGAATGTTACCGGTTCGCATGCATGAGGTGCGAAGTAGACCGGTACTTCCTCGATGTAACGGTCGAGAAGTTGCTGCGTCTTACCATCCGCCAACTTGATCGCCGTCGGGTTTGCCTTCCTCTGAACCTGAGCGCCAAGGCCAGCTCTTTGCATAAAAGACTGGCTCATGAAGTTGCGAGTCGCGCCGCTATCCAGCAAAGCGCTGCAGGACGCTTGCCCAACCTGGCTGCGGACATACATGAGCGGTGCATTGTTGTTATCGTACCGCTGCGTGCGAAACTCGCGGGCCACCTTGGTAACGTACGCCAAGTGTCCCCCACCGCGACTTCGTCATTTGTCGGCGAAGTTGGTGGTGCATAGAAGGAAAGGTAAGTGTGGAGATGAGCGCTAAGTGATGCGCATTGCGGTCCCGGCAAACAGCTTGTGGTCGGGAGAGGAAGCCATGCAAAGTCCTCAGACGTGAGCGGGTCCAAAACCTCTATCTTGAACTCGCGCGCCGAATCCCGTGACGAACCACTTGACGACGATATGTCGCTGTTGCCGGATGGAGAAGAAACCGCACACACTCCTTGTCCTTGAGCCTGAGTACCCAGCGTTGGAACGATTAAAAAAAAATAGAAGCGGAGGACTGTCGACTTCCGCGTGCGCCTCGGAATGAAGGTTGGTCACTCGCGAAGAAACCAGTTCCGAAGGCGTCGAGAGTGTCGTCGCATCACTCTCGGCGGTGCTCAGTTTCCCTGTCGACCATTGCCCTTCAGTGGGCAAACTGGCGTCAGATGAAGATCGTTGTTGCACCACAGGCAATAATGGAATCTCTCGCGCGCCTTGTAGGCGGACTCGGAGAGGCCATTCGGGGTCCATGAGCCTGTCTGAGCTGCTGCACCGGGCCCGGGGCTAGAAACGGTGTGTGTCTTCGGCTTGCCGCGCTCTCGGCCTCTGCCGGCGCGGCCACCTTCCCGGGCGGCTGCGAATCTGTCTCCTTCACTGGCAGACGCAGCCTTGCTGGTTTGGTCTAACGGCGCTGCCGCTGCGACCACGGCCACTCGTGGCCGATGCTGGTTCCCGCTCGGGCCTGACGCAGAAGAACGGAGGTTCTTGGCCTCCTTGTTCGTAACAATGATCTGCGCAGCCTTGTCAAATAGTTCCGCCGTCGTCGTCAAGGTGTCCTCGACATGCGTCAGGGCATTGCTCAATGYCGGACATGACCTTGAGATGAAATAGTGGCGGATGGCCTTGAAGCCCATMTGGATGTCTGGGACTGACGTCAAGCGTTGGTACTCGGCGATCCAGTCCGTACTCGGCAGCGAGCCTTGCTCGAAGACCATAAGCTTGTCCATGGCTTTGATCTCTGGCGGCTCCACCTGGAACCGCTTGCGCCACGCCGCCTTCAGATCATCCCAGCTGATCATGGTGTGCAAGTCCGCTGCTACCACTCTGTACTTGGACAACAAGTTGTCCAACCACGCCTGACACGCGCCCCCTGAGCGAGAGTACAAGTAAGCATGGTGCTTGTTTTCCTTGACGTTGTGGAGCTGCAGCGTGAGCTCAAACTTGCGAAACCATGGAATCGGATCTGTCTTGATTGAGTCGTGGAAGATCTCCTGCCCATCGAACTTAGGAGCTTTCTCGCGGGGCTCCGGACTCGAGGTGGTGGCGGTAGTGCAGATCCGGTGCTGCAATTGTTGCGTCGCTGTCTGCTGTAACTGTGCGCCATCCTGGAGGGAGCAGACGTGCATCTCCAATGCGGTGAGGCGGTCGGCAGTATTGGAAGAGCCTGCGTCGGCGGCGGCAACTGGTCGCTGCTCCAATCGCTGAAGGCGGTCTTGGAGCTGAGCTACCGAGTTGTCGAGACCAAGGATCTCCGCCTGCTGTGTAATGCAGGTTGCCAGGAGATCCGTGAGATGCAAGAGGAGGAGCGCTATCTTGTTTGCGCTGTCCTCCAACTGGCTGTTCTCGGCCTCGCTTCGCCATTCTGCTGCCATGGTAAGTAAYGCCCGCTCTCCGGTGAATATCTTCTCACGACGCTGTGTTCTTTCTTCATCAGCAGCCCTTGCTGCTGCCTCGTCGTGCTGGCGCTGTTGTTGCACGGCCAGCAGACATGCCTGTTCGGCATCCTCTGCCCTTTTCTTGGCTGCTGCGGCAGCGTCATTTGCCCGCTTCTTTGTCTCGGTACTCCAGGCTAACATGCGGGCCTGATAGGCCTCGTCTGTTTCCCCGGCCTTCTGGTCCATGACTACTGTCTGTGAACGCAACAGCATAGACCAGACCGGTGCCTGCTGATGTGGTATCCCTTGCTGCTGAGGTGGCAATGCTGACGTGTCCTGCTGACGCATCCTGCTGACGTGTCCTGCTGACGTGTCCTGCTGACGTGGCAACTTACCAATGCCGTCACAAGGGGTACCCGGAGACAACCAGAAATGGCAAGGCGAGAGATGGCAACAACGTAGGTGGGGAGGGGTGGGTGGGATAATCGCCCCACTCACACTTAGATAAGGAGCCACTAATCAAACCAGAAAAGTTTGAACTTCGCAAAAAAAATTTCGAGAAACTAAAAAAAAAAAAAAAAATCCCAATTTTTGCAAGTTCGGTAGGTCTCCCAATCTCCCTTGAAGTACGAAACGAT